AGAATTATTAATGTGAGATATGTCTAATTTTCAGAGTTTCGATTTTTAACAGAAAATTGAGCAGGACCGTATCTGCATTGTTGAGAAAAATCTACTCCTTCAAGTGGTTATGTGGGAAATTAAGCAGTGATGATTTCTACATTCATGATAGAAGGATCAAGTCGCTAAGATAATCAGGAGGTTTAAGGCGTAGGATAAACGAATAAGGAGATTATGGAAACGGGTCTTCAGAAGTTAATCAGAAGTGAAGAAGATGATGACGAAGAAATGGAGATGGATGTGAAAGAAGAGGACGGTGGCGATGATGAAGATGGAGAGAAGCATGTTGATGCCTCCCAAATGATGGCAGGGGTTGATGGAGAAATGCCAACAATAAGTAATAATAATAACCGTTTACAACAGCATCATCAATTTCAAGAACAAGTGGGGACTCCCGGAGGGGGAGGAGCTAGGAGGTGTAGACCCCTGGAAGAGAAGGAGAGAACCAAGTTAAGAGAACGGCAGCGCAGGACAATCACGGCGAGGATCTTAGCAGGGCTACAGAGGCATGGAAATTATAATCTTAGAGTTAGGGCTGATATCAATGATGTAGTTGCAGCTTTGGCTAGGGAAGCTGGCTGGGTTGTTCTTCCAGATGGAACAACATTTCCTTCAAAATCTCAGGTACTTCTCTTGCAAGGAAGAAGCTTGTTCATCCTATTTTGAATATTTTTTTGCTTTTTTATTTTTTAAATTTATGAACATGACTGCATATTTGGTTGATTTTAATGTCATACTTGTTCGCCGAAATGTTTAAAATTGATTTCTTCCTATAAAAAGAAAAAATTGATCTTCATGTGGGTCATGCACTGGCTGATCTTAGATCATGAGTGGTTTTGGCCTCCTTAATGTGGCTGTGGATGACATTCAATGCATTTTATTGTGATTCTCATTTCTAACAAATTTCTGAAAAAATCCAAAATGTTTATATTGAACTTTTACAGGGTCCAAGGCTGGCTGGTGTCAATTCTGCAGCAGTGACTTCATCATCATCCCAAATAGTATCCCCACGTACTCCTGCTTCCCTTAAAGGAGTTACTTCTGGCTATCAGAGCCCTGGGGAGCTTAATGCTTCCAACACCAAAGGTGTTTATTTGCCTAGTTTATCGCCTTATGTTCTCCCCTCAAGTGCTCAGTCCCAAGGTTCATCCATTGTTGGAGATGGAGCAGGTCAAACAGAGAGTCATCCTCTTAGTTGTGGCTCCTTGGATAATGTTGGCTACAAACAGGTACAAGGACGAGAAATTCAACAGTCTATATTTCTATGCCTACCAAAATATAAAACATCACAAAATTGTTTTATTCCATATCATCATGCTTTGTGTGTTCCATCATGCATGGCATCATGTGTGATGTATTTGTTGTTGAGACTTCAGTGGTGGTATGCGTTTCCAGATATATCTTTTGGTATGCAGGTGTTGAATTCTCTTATACGGTCATTCTTTGTACCATCTAGGTTAATTTTGTTATCACATATCACATCATGCGTTAAATAGCACAAAGAACAGTAGCCTTTGTTAGCAAATGTATGGAGGCATGATTCTGCATTTATACTGTCTTCATTTATGCTTATAGCTGCATTGCAATTTACTAGGACCCCATAAGTAGTGAAATACTATTTTTCATATTGTTCGTCTAATTTGTAGTAATGAATAGTTTGAATGCTAAGTTATTGCTTCCTAAGTTGGGCTGTCACGTCCTTCAATGCACATTAATTCTTTTTCGTAGATTGTTGACATACCCCTGAAGTTACAAGAACGTGATTTCTCCAGCACCGCGTACATTCCAGTTTATGTAATGCGACCAGTGAGTTCTGTAGCTTTACTAATATTCTTTTACGATGCAAGTTAAATTGTTGGTTTTCTGTTTTTTAATATGTTTACTTTTCTACTCTATATCTTGCATTAGAGGCTGCCATGTCAAGGAGTTCAAGTTTTGCTTCATAAATAACAGTTGTTTTTAAGCTTGGTCTCTAATCTGTATGCTCATTATCATGTCTTTTATTTGGTGGCAGCTAGGTGTTAATAACATGAAGTGTGAGCTGGTTGATCCAGATGGTCTACTAAAGCAGCTAAGGGTATTGAAATCAGTTAATGTAGATGGCGTTATGGTTGATTGCTGGTGGGGAATAGTAGAGGGACATGCTCCACAGGAGTATAATTGGAATGGATACAAGAGGCTCTTTCAAATGGTGCGCGAGCTTAAGCTGAAGCTACAGGTCTGTTTTATATACATTTTTTCACTTGCAGAGCTTTTTCAGTGGGCTTATAAACAACACATGTGGTTAATTGTTTTGCCTTCTTTGTTATCATTTTTATTCTTTCTATGGTTTTCCTGTAATGCTTGGCAAAGTTTTGAGATTTTCTCTCTATAATGTGGGAACCAAGGAACTCACTTCCCTTTCATGCTCTGAATTCACTCTCTAAGTCTGGAGATTATGTAATCATTTGGGCATGGTTTGTTTTGTTAGTTCTTCTGAAATTTATTGTGGGTCTGACGGGCAACTTCTGTATTTAAGGTTGTCATGTCATTTCATGAATGTTGAGGCAATGTTGGTGATGATGTGTGTATTCCACTGCCTCATTGGGTGGCTGAAATTGGTAGAAGCAACCTTGACATATTTTTCACCGATAGAGAGGGAAGAAGTAATCCTGAATGCCTTTCATGGGGAATTGACAAGGAACGAGTTTTAAGAGGCCGGACTGCTGTTGAGGTATTGCAGTCACATATGATGAATGATACCTTAATCTTTGTGCTTGCAATTAAAATTGGTGGTAATTGAACTCTTTGTATGTCAAACCATTAGCACCTATTAATCTATATATTTCTTTTTCTGTGGAAAACTTCATTAATGCCATATACAGAATGCTGTTCAGTATTATTGTACCATTTTTTAAGGGTAGTCCTATATACTCAGTGTCAAAATGCTAATTTTTAACTGATATAGGTATACTTTGACTGCATGAGAAGCTTCCGTGTAGAGTTTGACGAGTACTTTAAAAATGGTAGCATCTCCATGGTTCAAGTTGGACTAGGTCCTTGTGGGGAATTGCGATACCCATCTTGTCCTGTAAAGCATGGTTGGCGATATCCCGGTGTCGGTGAATTTCAGGTAACTTGCTGAGTAATGTTATATCAGTTTACAAGTGAATGAGTCTGTATTTCCTCAGCCTGAGCGTTTAAAAAATTGCAGTGTTACGATCAGTATTTGCTGAAAAGTTTGAGGAAGGCAGCAGAAGCAAGGGGACACTCCTTCTGGGGTAGAGGTTCCAGATAATGCAGGTTCTTATAATTCCCAGCCAAATGATACCGGTTTCTTTTCCGAAGGCGGTGATTATGATGGCTACCATGGCAGGTTCTTCCTTAATTGGTACTCTCGAGTTTTAGTTGATCATGGTGATCGGGTGCTTTCTCTAGCAAAGTTAACTTTCGACGGAACCTGCATTGCTGCAAAGGTGAGTTAGCTTCAATCATTTTGAACATACACGAAAGATGAATTTTTGAAATCTGATATTTGAAAAAGATAAAATCCATAGAAAAATGAATTAGGAGCTTACTTTGAAGATGTGGCCAAAGAATTCAAATAATACCGAAGGCAAAACCATCCATGTTGAATTTGAAGTTTCAAGTTTTAATCTAGAACATATGAAGATTGTTATGCAGGCCTAATATTGTTGAGTGTTGAAAGTTTTGCAACCTTAGAAGTAATTTGGCTAGTTATGGATTGATCGGTCAGTTTGCTATATTTTAATTGTTAAGCAGCTATCAGGTCTTCACTGGTGGTACAAGACGGTCAGTCATGCGGCTGAGTTGACTGCGGGCTTCTATAATCCATGCAACCGTGATGGTTATTCTCCAATTGTGACGATGCTAAAGAAGCATGAAGCTAATTTAAGCTTAGCATGTACTGAATTGCACATGTTAGACCAGCATGAAGATTTCAAAGAGGCACTGGGAGATTCTGAGGGTTTATTTTGGCAAGTAAGCATCAAATTTATCTGAAACCTCCTTGTGTACTCTAAAGTGGCCTTTTCTGATCCAAGCTTCAGCACTTAAGAATCCGTCTGTATTGGAATTCACTGGGATTCATTGCGAAAAATAGTACCCTAAATTGAAAAGTATATGCATTTACGTTGTGAAATCTTTGGACATTTAACATTGTAAACTCCTATTTCAGGTGCTGAATGCTGCGTGGGATGTTTGCTTACCGGTTTCTAGTGAGAACGCTCTTGCTTGTCATGATCGTATCAGCTACAACAAGATATTGGATAATGCCAAGCCCTTGACTGATCCAGATGGAAGGCATTTGTCATCTTTTACCTACCTTAGGCTCAGTCCACTTCTAATGGAAAGAGACAACTTCATGGAATTTGAACGATTCGTTAAGAGAATGCACGGTAAGACAGCCTTTACCACTGCTTTATTGTTGATTCAATTTGATGCGTTATTGATCTAGTACCAGAATATGGAAAATGCCAACAACAGTATCTCCGTATATAAACACTGCTCCACATTGGAGAACGAAAATACATAAAAATCAGAATCAGTTCACATATTTGTCGCCGCGTGTTTTCTGGATTCGGCATGAGTTGTAACTATGAATTTCACTGCAGGGGAAGCTGTTGTTGACCAAGTATATAGCAAGTAGAATGAAGTATCCCCAGATAGTGCTTTATTAATTCCTCTTGAATGAAGAGGGTTGTCCAGTTTAGTGTATTATCTTCTTTTCTTAGAGGAAAAATGAAAATTTACTAGTCGATAGGACAGCGGCTAACGACGAGATTCAACTATTTTGTACTCGAACAGCGATCGCGATTGATATGTAAAAGTAATTTAAATGTAAAATCCTCATAGCTTTTAGAAAACATTGCTTGCAGAAATTGCATCTTTCTCCACCATTAGCAGCCATTGGCCGCCGGCCTCCCTTATGATATTTGCAATGAAAGGCAATCAACAATATCTTGAGCACAGATGACTTCAATATAATCATTGAGGTTTTTATACGATCAGCGATGACATGGCAGCGCAACGTTTTATGCACAGCTTCACTTTCATGTACTGCCTCTCATTCCCTCTCACCAACATCAATCTAAACACAATCATGAACTTCCCAATGGAGGATGCTTCACAAGAATCAAAGAATTACTTTTCTCGGCGTGGTTATTACTTCTTGAACACCATGTCACCGGACTCATCAACATCGAAAAGCCGCTCGACGAAATTATCCCAGCTTTCCCTCCTTTTCTTGAATGATGCCTTACAAGGAGTTCCCCCACTCAATCCTCCAGAATTCTCCCCCTCTAAAGTTTCAATGAATGCAAACGTGCCATACTGCGAATCAGAGTAGGCATGTGGGATATTCAAAGCTACAGCTCTCCGAAGAGCTGCCTTGTGCTCCTGGCTGTGTTCACGAACAAGGGAAACTTGTCGCTCCATCCTCTGCTTTGCCGGAACTTCCATAATTCTGTCGTTCTCAACCATTAACTGATATCATGGGAAAAACAAATATATCGTTACAACCACAAGGACACGAATCTCAGATCTAGGTGGGATTATCATTAAATCTTAAAGAAATTTGAAACGTAATGGGGGATTTAAGGACTAACATCAAAAGCCTTTTGTGCTTCTCTCTCTATCCAAATTATGGCATGGTCAGAAGTAACATTGCAAGAAAGAACTATGTGCTCAAACCGCCCATCCACAGGAACCGCTGTTTTCACCACTGGCGGAAACCTTTCAAATCTGCAACCAGTAAGCTCCCAATCAGAGCCCGTAATTCAATCTATTCCTACCCCAGCAGTTAACACATCATGCCGATGCAATTTGAAATCTAACAACACAATCGAAATGCAATGAAATTGAAATATCATAACATCCTAAAATACCTGAAGGGCTTTCGTTCAACAATGTGATAGAGACGGCCAGGTGCATATAATCTCTTTGGATCAGTAAGCATCTTCTGTTCCAGTGTGCATGTCTCCTTCAAGCACATTGTGCAAAGAAAACATGGCAAACTGTGCAGACGAAGGAAAGCAACCTCATTTAGAATATCAGCAGGATAACACAGGTACAATCTAAATTATATCAGTAATACATTGCAATGAATTATCAAATGCAAGAAAGTTCGAAAAAAAAAACGTACTATGTTTTACCAGAAAAGTGATTTGAACAAGTTATCCAAAGCAGTTGTTATCCGAGGTAAGAAATCATCCTGGTTCATTATAACAACCACATTAGAACACTGAGGACCTATAATCACCCATCGGCAAAAAGCATACTAATCCCTGGGAAAAACATTGATTCAATTTATGTGGCCGGCCTTTTGGCTAATTTTCACCAGAAAACATAGGCAATGAATTAAATCGCGCAAATATCCACTATTTTACGAGGAACAAAAAGCAAATGTCTAGAATGGAATCTCATAATCTAACCTGAAGTACAACAGAGTTGATAACATCTGCATACCTCACAGCCAGATTCAGTGACATGCATCTAGCAGGAGCCGTAGCATAGCATCTAATCTTCTTCCTCTCAGTTCCTAATTTACTCAGATTCTGAAGCACCACTAGCGTCATCAATGCCACCACACCAGCCCCAAGGGAATGTCCAGTAAATGTCACGGTATAATACGGATTCCGGTGAAGCAGCTAGGGCTTCTGAAAGGGGGAATAGAAGATGGATCGGGTGGAAAATGGGAGTGGGAGCTCTGAGTGAGGGCGATGAGGTGGAATTCGAGGAGAAAATGGATAATTCCGGCCAAGGTGGAGTCAATTGCTAGAATTCGGCCGTTCCAGCTGGTTTTAGGAGGTAATTCAGTTCACTACAAGGAAAAGTTTACTTTGTGGTCATGTTTGGCTTCTGAGAAAATTTAAAAGCTTTCTCGTATGTGACTTGTGTGGAAAGTAATAGAGAATAAGCGCCTTGTTTGGCTGCTGAGAAAATTTGAGCAGAAGTCAACCTCATTAGAGCCAAATAGGTGTAAACAATCAATTTAGTAGGTTCTGTGTCTCTGTAATTTTGAACCATACTAGAATTATTAATGTGAGATATGTCTAATTTTCAGAGTCTCGAATTTTAACAGAAAATTGTTGAGAAAAATCTACTCCTTCAAGTGGTTTAATGTTGTCCTTCCACATTTTTGGTTTGTAGGTTTTGATTGGTGTTGCATGGTACGAAATTCAACCACAAGGGGAAAGCTACAGATCGCTGAAATTAATGTTGCTTCTGGTTTTAATAAATTACTGCTGTCAAAAGTGTAAATTATGAATATTTCATACTCTTACTCTTAAGCTTTGCAAACCTGGACATAGCCCAATTCGAGTCTCTTTGCTTGTAGTTTAGTTTAGATTACATTTTAATATTCAACATTTTTTTACTTTTAACTTATAAAGCTAAATACATCTGCATGACATATAAATAGAGAGGATCTTTTTCGGTGAGACCGTTTACTGCCATGTTTTATAACTAATTCACTCATGTATTATTGCATGTGTAGATTTCTTATTAGTGCTAAAAAACTTCTACCGCCTCTTTATTCATTGTTCGAAGGAGAATAATATTGTTGAATGTTGTTGATTGTCCTGATAAAAGTGACTCTAAACTCTAATTTTTCATTGTGATCGGAATACGATGGTACATCACGTGTTTTTATATAAATAGTGGAAAATTTTACTTTTTAAGTTATTAAAATTTTAACACATATATCATACAATTTGTATAATGACACGTGATGTACCATTCCGTGTACCGATCACATTAAAAAATCTCTCGTTCACAGTTGTTGATTGTCCGGATAAATATGACTTTCTTTTTTAACTCATTTAGTTTCGGCTTTAAACCCTCTTTCTCCTTAATTAGCAGTATTTTCTAAGTAATATTAGTAGTCAACTCACAAAAGAATAGCAATCACATGGCGATAAATACATAATCCAAATTACGGTGTACCCTGATTATCTTTTTCTTCGTTTTCACACCCTCCCACATGTCACATGTGTCTTTGTCTTGAGCTTTGACCACTTGAGGGAATTTGATAAACAGGATGTGCCTCAAATGAATCAGTCCCGAGCTGAAAGGGGTTTGGAATTTTGCCTTGCATGCCTGCATGGTGCCTTTCTCGGACTTCTTCGTCTTCGTCTTTATCCTCTTGTCCCCTTGTTTTCTAGTTCCCTGTTCAGAGGAAGAAAACATATGACAACAACAATAAAAATCAAAACCCAGTCACGGGCTCGTATAGAAGGATTTTGTCTTGCTACTTTTATTAACAAAATAATAATAATATTAATAACGACCCTATGTCCTATATTTTGAATTTTTGTTGAAGGAATATTATACAAGAAAATAATAAAGAGATCATTTATTTAGACCACATGTCACCGATAAAAATTAAAATCGTTGAACAAGCACTTAAGTAATACTTCAATCATCAACATCAATGTTATGTGATTTACAAAATATGCTTTAAGTAAATGATCTACCTAACATTAGTTATACACATACAGAAGAGCGCTCAATACTCAAGTATTACCTAGTTAGTAGTTTAATATAGCATTAACAACTGATTTAGGTCTTGATTGGTGTTGCATGGTACGAAATTCAACCACAAGGGGAAAGCTACAGATCGCTGAAATTAATGTTGCTTCTGGTTTTAATAAATTACTGCTGTCGAAAGTGTAAATTATGAAGCTTATGACGACCGATAAAATGGCATAAGGAATTGATATGTCCTTGATTGATTACGGTTTCTCTCTCTTGAAAAACATAAATTCGGTTGCATAATATGTCGCGGTTCTTGTCAAAATTTGATACATATACAATTACAGAGAGAGGATTCGTACTTGAGCTTAGAGAAAAAAAAAATTAGCGGCAAGTTGAATATTTCACACTCTTAAGCTTTGCAAACCTGGACATAGCCCAATTCGAGTCTCTTTGCTTGTAGTTTAGTTTAGATTACATTTTAATATTCAACATTTTTTTACTTTTAACTTATAAAGCTAAATACATGTGCATGACATATAAATAGAGAGGATCTTTTTCGGTGAGACCGTTTACTGCCATGTTTTATAACTAATTCACTCATGTATTATTGCATGTGTAGATTTCTTATTAGTGCTAAAAAACTTCTACCGCCTCTTTATTTGTTGTTCGAAGGAGAATAATATTGTTGAATGTTGTTGATTGTCCCGATAAAAGTGACTCTAAACTCTAATTTTTCATTGTGATCGGAATACGATAGTATGTTAGACAAATAAGGAATATGGTTGGAATCCTTGTGTAATTGTTAAAATGCATGAAATAAACATGTTGGAATAATGGTAGGCTAGTCAATTTTCTTGTTCAAAGTTAGGCAAGTTAGGTTAGTCAAGTTAGGCAAAATTAGGCTTATGTTCTTTTTCTTTCCTATATATATGTTTCATCTTGTAATTGTTCAATCAAGCAAATATATATCAAAATTCTACATGGTATACAGAGCAGGTTTATAACCCTAGCCCTAATATTTTTTTTCGGCAGCTTTCTCTGCCGTTCCCATGGCTGTTCGTGGCCCGTCCCGTCCCTTCTCTGCTCGTCCTCCCCTCCACTGCACCTACTGCAATTTTGATTATCATACCCGAGACACCTGCCATAAACTTCGTGGCTATCCCGTTGGCCATCCCCTCCATGGCCAACCGTGGCGACCACCGCGCCGTGCCACTGCTTCCAGTTCTTCCCGCAGCCATGCACCTTCCAGTCCTCCCCAGCAGCCACGGTTTTCTGCTTCCCGGCCCCATAATTTCACCCAGGCCCATCACGTGCAAGGCACCCAGGCCCCCGCCTCCTCTTCTACTCCAGCGACCCACCAAGTGCATGGGACCCAGCCCACTTTACATGACTTGCAGCTTGCCATGCCTGACCTCTCTGCTGAGCAGCACTCCCGTGTTCTAGCTGCTCTACGTGACACCACCACCCCTCCTCAGGCCAATGCCGTGCTCACTACTGATTTTGCCCAAGGTTTGTTACCTGTCACCTCTCGTCATGGTCAATGGATTCTTGACAGTGGTGCTACGGATCATATTACTTCTTCCGCTTCATGTTTGGTTAATCGTTCTCCTTCACATTTGCCGCCTGTTTCTTTGCCTAGTGGTGCTTCCGCTCCCATTACTTTTACCGGCACTCTTCCTTTAAATTCCTCAGTTACTTTGAAGGATGTTTTATGTGTCCCTAATTTCCGAGTGGACCTTTTATCGGTTGGTAAACTTACAGATGGATTATCGTGTTCCATAACCTTCTTTCCTTCTTGGTGTGTTTTGCAGGACTTGGTTTCGAAGGCGATGATTGGTGTGGGTAAGCGACGTGGCGATCTGTATTACCTTGTGGCCCTTACCTCTTCTCTCCCCACCCGTCAACCTCTCTGCAACATCATTACCATCCCCTCCTCCCTCTGGCATAGGCGTCTTGGTCACCCCTCCTCCACTCGTTTGCAAGCTTTAGCATCTAGCTCTCTTAATTGCACTTTTGATTCTAGTCATATTTGTGATGTTTGTTCGTTGGCAAAACAAACTCGTCAACCTTTTCCTTTGAGTTCAATTTCATCAACTTTCCCTTTTGCTTTAATTCATTGTGATATTTGGGGCCCGAATCGTCAATCTTCTCTTTCTGGTGCTAATTATTTCTTAACCATTGTGGATGATTTTTCTCGCTTTACGTGGGTCTTCCTCATGAAACATAAATCCGACACTCAACAATTAATTAAGGATTTTTTTGCTTATGTCACTACCCAATTCCGCACTACCATCCAATGCATTCGTACTGACAATGGTGGTGAATTTTTATCTCTTCGTAGTTTTTTCTCTGATCATGGGGTGCTTTTACAAACTTCTTGTGTTTATACCCCCCAACAAAATGGCGTTGTTGAAAGAAAACATCGTCATCTTCTTGAAACCGCTCGCGCCCTTCGTTTTCAATCCCATCTTCCTATCAAGTTTTGGGGGGAATGTGTTCTTACCGCTACTTATCTCATCAATCGTCTCCCTACCCGTCTTCTCCATCATAAATCCCCATTTGAGGTTCTCTTTTCGAAAACCCCATCTTATGACCACTTCCGCTTCTTTGGTTGTCTGGCATATGCCACCTCTGTCACTCCCACCACAAAATTTTCCCCTCGGGCTCATCGTTGCATTTTTCTCGGTTATCCTCATGGACAAAAGGCCTATACCCTTTACGATCTCGACAATCACCGCATTTTCACTAGTCGAGACGTCATCTTTCACGAAAGTACTTTCCCTTATGCCGTTTCTCACCCTCCTATCCCATCCTCTTCACCTACCCTACCCATCCCACCCCCTCTGGACTTTACATATAACCCACCCCTTCCTGCCCCAACGCCTCACCCTCCTCCACCTTCCTCCCCTTCCACGCCTCCCACAAATTCCCTTGCTGCCCCATTACCCGTTCCTCCCATGCCCCTGCCCTCTCGGCATCCCCTCCTTCCCCCCCCCCCCCCCCCCCCGCTACTTCCTTACCTTTCACCCTTTTACCCACGGACATCCCTACCCCCCCACTACCTACCAATCCTCCCCTTCCCCGCACCTCTTCCCGTGCCCATAAACCTCCATCCTATTTAAAAGACTACG